GCCACCTCGCCCGGCTAGTTTTTTGTATTTTTTAGTAGAGACGGGATTTCACCGTGTTAGCCAGGATGGTCTTGATCTCCTGACCTCGTGATCCGCCTATCTCGGCCTCCCAAAGTGCTGGGATTACAGGCTTGAGCCACCGCGCCCGGCCGACACTTGCTTCTTATACAAGTCATCTCTCCCTCACTTGTAGCTTCCTCAAAGAGAGGGGCTGTGTTTTTACTTTGTCACTCCTTCCTCCCCTCACGCAGTAAAGTACAGTGCAGTGCTCTGTACCTAGCCTGTGCTCAGAGAACTCTTTTTCTACTCTGGTGTGATGGGACAGAGATCTGAAACTCTGAGGAACAAATGGAGTTATACTGAGAAGATTTGAGTCTTGATGTTTAGAGCAGGCCACATAGTTTGGGGTGTGAGCATGAAGCTAAACTAGATGGCAGATTGAGGAGCTCATCCCTCTCTGCTCCTCCCCTTGCCTGGACCACTCCCCTGGCCTGCAGGCCTGATCTGTCCTCTGGAATTTTCCTTCGCAGAAGCCTCAGTGTAAAGTCTGCCGATCATGCCCCGTGGTGCAGTCGACCCATCACCTGTTTCTAGACCTGCCTAAGGTAAGTGAGCTTTTCTCTCTAACCTAGTTTTCAGGAGGCCTTTTCTGTCCCCTCTGCCTTAGCCACAGATACTGAGAGCAGATTACTCTTAAATGTTTTAAATTTCCATTAATAATTGTACATATTATTGTCAAGAGATGAAATAGATTAAAAGGCACAAAGTGAAAGCCCCAGGCCCACTTGCGAGAGGTATTTACTACTCATTTTCCTTTGTGTCTATTCAGAAATGTCATATGCATGTAAAAGTATTTTTATGTCTCTTTTTTCTTTTTTTCTTTTTTTTTTAAGGGATAGGTTCTCACTCTGTCACCTAAGCTGGAATACAGTGGCATGATCATAGCTCACTGCAGCCTTGATCTCCTGGGACCAATCAATTCTCTCCCCTCAGCCTCCCAAGTACCATGCCTGACTGATTTTTTTTTTTTTTTTTTTTGAGACAGAGTTTCGCTTTTGTTGCCCAGGCTGGAGTGCAGTGGCACAAACTTGGCTCACTGCAACCTTTGCCTCCTGGGTTCAAGCGATTCTCCTGCGTTAGCCTCCAGAGTAGCTGGGATTACAGGCACCCCCCTCCATGCCTGGCTAATTTTTGTATTTTTAGTAGAGACAGGTTTTTGCCATGTTGACCAGGCTGGTCTCGAACTCCTGACCTCAGGTGATCTGCCTGCCTCAGCCTCCCAGAGTGCTGGGATTACAGGCATGAGCCACCGCACTGGGCCACCTTTTTGTATTTTTAGTAGAGACAGGTTTTTGCCATGTTGACCAGGCTGGTCTCGAACTCCTGACCTCAGGTGATCTGCCTGCCTCAGCCTCCCAGAGTGCTGGGATTACAGGCATGAGCCACCGCACTGGGCCACCTGACTAATTTTTAAAATGTTTTTGTAGAGATTGGTTCTCACTATGTTACCCAGGCTGGTATCAAACTCTTGGGCTCAAGCAGTTCTCCTGCCTCTGCCTGCAAATGTGTTGGGATTACAAGCATGAACAACTGTGTCCAGCATTGACCTCCTTTTTTTTTTTTTTTTGAAGTGGAGCGTCTCTCTTGTTGCCCACGCTGGAGTGTAATGGCACAGTCTTGGCTCACTGCAACCTCTGCCTCCCAGGTTCAAGCAATTCCTCTGCCTCAGCCTCCCAAGTAGCTGGGATTACAGGCACCTGCCACCATGCCTGGCTAATTTTTGTATTTTTAATAGAGACGGGGTTTCACCATGTTGACCAGGCTGGTCTGGAACTCCTGACCTCAGGTGATCCGCCCACCTCAGCCTCCCAAAGTGCTGGGATTACAGGCGTGAGCCACCATGCCCAGCCTGACCTCCTTTTTAAAATACAGTGTTCCTCTTTCTGTACCCTGGGCTTGGAGAAAATAAAAAATAAAAAAAAAATAGGCTGGGCACAGTGGCTCATCATGCTTGTAATCCTAACACTGTAGGAGGCTGAGGTGGGAGGATCTGTTGATGCCAGGAGTTGGAAACCAGCCTGGAAAACATAGTGAGACACTGTCTCTACAAAATAATCGAAAAATGAAAAATTAGCCAGGTATGGTGGTGCGATCCTGTAGTCTCAGCTATGTAAGAGGCTGAGGTGGGAGGATCATTTGAGCCCAGGAGTTTGACATTACAGGGCGCTGTGATTGTGCCACTACACTCCAGCCTGGGCAACAGAGTGAGACCCTATCTCTAAAGTATAAAAATATTAGGTCAGGCGCAGTGGCTTACGAGGCCGGATGCGGTGGCTTATGCCTGTAATCTCAGCACTTTGGGAGGCCGAGTCTGGTGGATCACGAGGTCAGAAGATCGAGACCATCCTGGCTAACATGGTGAAACTCCGTCTCTACTAAAAATACAAAAAAATTAGCCAGGCGTGGTGGCGAGCGCCTGTAGTCCCAGCTACTTGGGAGGTTGAGGCAGGAGAATGGTGTGAACCTGGGAGGTGGAACTGGCAGTGAGCCGAGATCGTGCCACTGCACTCTAACCTGGGTGACAGAGCAAGACTCCGTCTCAAAAAAAAAAAAATTAAATGCCACATGCAGTGACTCACGCCTATAATTCCATTACTTTGGGAGGCTGAGGCAGGAGGATTGCTTGAGCCCAGGGGTTTGAGACCAGCCTGAGCAACTTGGCAAGACCCTGACTCTACAAACGTGAAACAATTATCCTGGCCTGGGCGCAGTGGCTCACATGTTAATCCCAACACTTTGCAAAGTCTAGGTAGGTGGATGACTTGAGCCTAGGACTTTGAGACTAGCCTGGGCAACATGGTGAGACCCCATCTCTACAAAAAATACAAAAGTTAACTGGGCGTGGTTGTGTGTGGCTGTAGTCCCGGCCATTCAGGAGGCTGAGGTGGGAAGATCACCTGAGCCTGGGAAAGTTTGAGGCTGCAGTGAGTCGTGATTGAAACACTGCACTGCAGCTTGGGCGACAGAGTGAGACCCTGTCTCAAAAAAAAAAAAAAAGGAAGAAAAAAATTTAGCCAAATATGGTGGTACACATCTCTGGCCCCAGCTACTTAGGAGGCTAAGGTAGGAGGGTTGCTTTGAGCCGAGGAGCTGGAAGCTATAGTGAGCCATGATTGCACCACTCACTCCAGTCTGGGCAACAAAGTGAGACCCTATCTCAAAAATAAATAAATACATAAAATATAATAGTTCTCATGTTGGGTTTGTTGGGTGTTTCCTCTTGATTAGATTCAGGCTATGCATTCTTGGTTGGAATGCTACATAAATGACTGTGTCCTTTTCAGAGGCACATGATGTCCATCCCCTTCACTGGGAATCCTAACTTTGTTTGGTCAGGTGTTATTCAGTTTGTCCATTGTGTAATTACTATTTTCCCCATTGCAACTTATGAGCAGTCTGGGAATACACTTTATTTTTTTCTTTTCTTGAGATGGAGTCCTGCTCTGTCGCCCAGACTGGAGTGCAGCGGCATGATTTCAGCTCACCGCAACCTCCACCTCCCAAGTTCAAGTGATTCTCCTGTCTCAGCCTTCGAGTAGCTGGGATTATAGGCACATACCACCATACCTGGCTAATTTTTGTATTTTTAAGAGAGATGGGGTTTCACCATGTTGGCTAGGCTGGTCTCAAACTCCTGACCTCAAGTGATTCACTCACCTTGGCCTCCCAAAGTGTTGAGATTACAGGCGTGAACCACCACACCCAGCCTTGTGGGAATCTACTTTAAGACAATGCAATACTTTGCTCTTCATGAACAAAATATTCTCTCTAAATTTAGCATTCATTGATAATTTTTACCTTTATTATGGTGATTTTCCAACTCTACCACTACCCTCTATATTTATCCTTCTCTCTCCATTTATTTTTAAATTTAGTTAGCTGTTTATTATCAGTATGGACTCATGGATTCCTATTTTTTTCAACTTCTTGTAATCCTTTCCTGTCCTAAATTTATTTTCATGTTCAAATTGTCACTTACTTCATCAGTAGGAACGTATTCAAGGTGACTTCTCTGCTTTTCGGATCTCCCATCATTTTTTAAACCCTTCCTTAATTTGTGGCATAAAAAGATACTCCAGGTTCATCTGATTCAGCCTTGAAATCAACTGTGTCACCAACCTTGAGTTTAATTTAGTAGGGAACAGTATTAGTTACCGAAATCTAGGTGGTAGATGTGCTCATTGCTACTGGGTATCTTTGCTACTAGGACCTTTCAGCAAAGAGAGTTGGTATTTGTTTTTTTTTGTTGTTGTTGTTTGTTTGTTTGTTTTGAGACAGGGTCTCGCTGTCATCTAGGCTGGAGTGCAGTGGCACGATCTTGGCTCACTGCAACCTCTACCTCCAGGGTTCAAGCAATTCTCCTGCCTTAGCCTCCCAAGTAGCTGGGATCACAGGCACCTGCCACCACACCCAGCTAATTTTTTTTTGTATTTTTAGTAGAGACGGGGTTTCACCATGTTGACCAGGCTGATCTCCAACTCCTGACCTCAGGTGATCCACCTGCCTCAGCCTCCCAAAGTACTGGGATTGCAGGCGTGAGCCATCGCGCCCGGCCAGTTGGTATTTATTTTAGGTTCACATGGACACCTGCAATTTCAGTCCATCCCCACAGAGTTCTTCGTCACTTTCTCTTATTTATTTCATGTCTCTATCTACCTTCTTCCACTGTAAGTGTCCTGGTTCTCAATAAGCATCAGCACATTTACTTATTAGCTCAATCCTACAATACACCTAAAACTATTTCAGAATTGCTTTGCTGGTACGTCTACAAAAAAAATAACCTATTAAAAAGAGTTTAGGGCCGGGCGCGGTGGCTCAAGCCTGTAATCCCAGCACTTTGGGAGGCCGAGACGGGCGGATCACGAAGTCAGGAGATCGAG